GTGAGGTGAGCATCCAGGGGTAAAACTCAGTTCCTTTTACCTCTTTCTTCCACCATCTGCTAGGATATCTGGACAGAATTACAGGGGGAAAAAAATATCCATGGTTTACCTACAATACAAATGTAACTGTGTCTGCCATAAGTAAGGCTATGTCAAGTCTACCCTGGACATTGTAGTCTGCAACCATCAGACGGCAGCTGCAGGTTCCAGCTGGTGAAGAGGGAAAAGAAACAGGCGAAGGCATGAGGCCTAGGCCTATAAATGTCACATATCATCTGTGCTACTTCCATTAGCAGGACTGTGCTTACGTCATGTCACTGTACATGAGTACAAAGAAGACCAGGAACATGTTGGTCAGTTAAGTGCCTCCAGAACATAGGTGAGCAGATTTTGGAGGATAACCAACAGTCTTCATCAAAAGACCCTCTATGGTTGATGCATATGTTCTTTCTTCATTCCATATCTTTGTATTTTTCCTCTAATTTTTTTGTAGGCTTTCCTTATCTACCAAGCTTTCTCTCAAGAAACTAATTTCATTTATTACACTAAATTTCCAAAAGCTATTTCTTACTTTCCAATTATTCCTCTCCAGTTGCAACATTTCTTGTTTAACGGAGGTAGTATCTTCCCGGATCTCTCAGAGGATCTAGTTAGAATTTTTCATATTCTGTTCCATTATAACTTTCTACTGTCTGTAGCCACTTCTTCTATTTATCTTGTTTCTCTCTCTCTTTCATGCTTTTAGTTCTGCAAAATTCTGGTGTTTATGGTTGTCTATTTATGGAATAACAGACAAAGCTGATTAACCTCAGTGGTTTTCATCTGAGTTGGTTTCCTTTTTCACTTATCTGTTTCTCCGAAAGACCAACGTCTTAAACAGAAAGGCTGAGTGGGATCTTCTGTCACGCTTTACTGTAGGGTGAGTTGATGGGTCATCGTCAGGAAATGGGTTTATAAATGTCAGAATGACAAGCTATATTCTGAGATACCATATTAAACATATTTTTCCTGGAAATTTATTACATTTCTACAGAATGCGTCTTTGAGGTTTGTGTGTGTGTGTGTGTGTGTGTGATGTTTTTGTTTTTTGTCTGGCGGTAAGTGCCAGTCATTCTCCTTTGTGGAGATAAGCAGGGGTGCCCAGTACTTCAATGTAAACAATCTACAGACTCCCTAGTTTTTAGGTCCACTTTTCCTGTCTGTCCTCAGGACTCACCAATTATAAACTCAGAAGCTTCTCTGGGGTTTTGCCAGGAAGACAGCTGCCTTACTTCCACTGCCTGTCTTCTCATTCCACTTACTATGGCTTACGCCACAGTTGAGTCATTTATGTGCTGTCTATTTCTAGAAATTTCTAGAAGTCTCTGCAGCTGCCATCCTTCTTCCCTGACATTCTCTTTGCTGTTATATATTCATCTTCCTTTTCTGTTACTACAGTGGGATCTCAGAAAGAAGAGGAAACAACCACAAGATGGCTGTTTTGAACCTTTCGGATGTTTACATGCTTTGCAAATCTCCAAGTGTATTTGTTTATTTTTGCAACTACTTTATGGGGTTAAATTTGGTGAGGTTGATGTTCTGCTGTGCTCCTTAATGTATTTGTGAATGCAAACTGGCAGCCGGGGTTGCTTTTTATAAGAGAGCAATACAGTCCATAGTTTCCAATTCTGGAGAAGGTAAGAGCAGTGATAGAAAGAAAAAGAAGAGGAAGCTGGTGACATGTGATGGTACGTCCCCTCTCAAAGACTGCCAAGAGATTCTAAATGTACAAAATGTTTAGTGTGACAGAAGTGTATTGGGGCAGTAGAAGAAGCTATTTAGTTCTGTGAAGGGTTAGTGGAGACAAAAACATAAGGCCTGTACAGACCACAGGAACTTCAGGCAAGAGGAGACTGTGAGTGCATCATTCCCAGGATTATGCGGACGTTGTGTGGAGGGTTTAGACTTTCCCATTCTGTAGAACTGGCAAAGCAGTGTCAATCACACAGCGCTCACTGTGGGTCTGGGGGTCACCTGACACCCAGCCTATACATACATTATGTACTCGACTTCCTTTACCCCCTGTAGTTTATCTGCACACTAACCCCTGCATTCCTCCTAGAGGGTGAATGTGATCATGCCATTCCCCTCCTTCAAAACTCTATTGTCCACCTTCCAAAATACTTTATAGTGGCATCAAACATCCTTCAAGATCTGGCCTCCATCTGCCTTACCGGCTTCATCTCCTCCTCACAACGGACACTCTAACGTTTCACTGTTCCCTAAAACACTAAGATTTCCCCTTCCATCTGAAATAACCAATCTATTCATTCTTCAGTAGCAAATTCAATCATCATCTGAAACTTCTTCCCTCTGAAAAGTAAGACATTCTCTATGGTCCACCTCCCAATAACTTGTTCATAGCCAAGGGGGGAGGTTCGGGGGGGGGGGTTCCTCTTCCTCTCTTCCTTCCTTCCTTTTCCTGCAGGAAGGACTATGACCTACTGGCTCTGGACCCCTAAAGTTGAGCACAGTTAAGGTCCTCTCCTTTGACTCCTACAGGACCCTGGGTACAACTGTTATCCTGCATTTTAACTGGGTTTATAGGCCAGTCTCCTTCACTCAGACAACATAGGAGCTGCGTCTCTGTTAGCATTCCTAGTAGCTAGGAGGGCCAGAGAGAGGAAAAGGAAAGAAGAAAGGAATGAAGGAAAAAATACAGAAAGTTTAAAAAAAAAGGAAGTCAGAAAGTAAACAAATAGGGTCGTCAGGGCTCAAAGTCTAGACCAACATAGAAACCTTAGCCTATGAACTTATCCATAAAAGGCAAATCAGACTGACCAGAAAGTCATATCTAAAGATACAAGCAGGTGCCTGGTATATTGCTCCTGGATCTGACTAGCATCAGAGACGCCCAAAACATCAGGCAATTGTCATTTAGCCTCTAGGTCTGGAAGGATAATGATGTTACGCACCCCAGACCAAGGCTGAACCAGCAGACCTGGCCTGGTAATGAGTGTAACAAAGAGCTTTGCCTTGGATTCAGACACATTTGAGTCTCGGTCTACCATCGACCAGGTCATTTAACCTCAGATTAATGGGCTGCTGCGAGCTTCCGTGACAGTTATGGGAAACAGAGATACTGTGTATACAATAACTGGCATTCTCTGGACATTTGATAGATGGCAGCTTTTATTACTAGTGAGTGTGCCAACTCACATCTACATGTTTGGGTGACTACATACATAAAATATGTTGTATGGAGCCCTCCCTGGTGGCGCAGAGGGTTAAAGCACAGCACTAAGAAGCTAAAGCCACTTCTGCATGAGTTCGATTCCCTACTGCCCTGGAGGTGACCACATGGCACAGCAGACCTCTCCTGACCCCCCCGCTGCTCCCCTCAGCAGTGTACCTCGTAGATCTGCCTGTTCTGCTCCCCACTCTGTCTCTGGTGAAGCCTCTCGCCACCCCTGAGCTTCTGGCCTGTATGTACAAATAAATAAATCTTAAAAAAAAAAAAGCCATGTCTTAAAATATATGTTGTATGGAGATTTTCAAGGAGCAAGAAAGTGCAATAAAAGTGCTTTGTAAACTGTAAGCTAACCCACAAATAATTGCTTAAAACATCTTTTCTAGCTGGAAAAAATACCAGCTTTGGATTGGGCAGAAGTAGGTTTAGTTCCTGACCCTGTGTATAATCTTGCACAAGGGACTTTCTGTCAGTCAGTCTGTTTCTCTATCAAGTATGGATAATTCTTACTTTACAAGGTTGTTAAGAATTTAGTAAGATGATGAGGGTCAAGCTCCTGGTACAACCCTTCCCGAGTGGGTGGCAGAGTCCCATGTAATTTTTTTCAAGTCACAAGTGATGCCAGAGTCACATTCTGCCTATTGGCTACAAATGCAGAGGCCCCACTCTGGAAAGCAGGACCCCGGATTAGCAAGAGGGGGAGATGGGTCTTAATTTGTTGGAAGGAGCCTGGGTCAACACTAAAACTCCAAGAAAAAAGCACCAAAATCTGCCATGTGGAGACAGGCATAAACCATGCCAAGCTGCCCCAGCCTTGCAACAAGTAAATTATTGATACTAAGGGTGAAGATTCTTTAACAGTAAGTCTTGGGGCCTCCTGGTGGCTCAAGGGGCTAAGTCTCAGCACTGTGAAGCTATCCGTTGCCACTGCAGCACAAGTTAAGATTCCCGGTCAGGGAGCTAACCCACATGGTGCAGCAGACCTTACCTGTCTCGCCCGCTGCTCCCCTTGGCAGCAGTGTTCAGTCAGTGCCTGTTCTGTCCCTCACTCTGTCTCTGGTGAATCCTCTCACCCCCACACACCTCTGGCCTGTACCCCAGGTATTGTATGCATAAATAACTAAATCTTAAAAAAAAAAAAAAAAGGCTTAAGGTTTCTCATCTTTCCCCACCCCTCACCCTCTACTCCCTGTCACTGTCATTTTCCCTTGGCACAAAGGAAATGCTCAATGAAGTTGAAAGTGTTCCCATACTTGGCACTGCCTTCTCACAGAGCAAATGGCCACATCATGGGCCCAGCTCCCAACTCCAGGGAATCAGCTGATCCTAGACCAGCCCCCTAAGTAACGCCTCCTGCAGAAGCCAACAAGGTGAATTAGTGCAAAGAGTATCAGTTCAAAGCAAGGGAAGCCCAGATTTGAGCTCTGGCCTCACCACATACCTGCTCTGTGACTTCACAGCAAGTGACTTCACCTGTCCTCACTTCTGTTTCATCTTACTCTCTTGAGGGTGGTTGTGGTGACTAAATATTATATGCAAAGTAAATGTCATCTGTGGCAGCCATGGCACACCAGATGCTCAATTAATGATACCCCTTTTCCTTCCCCTTCCTCTTAAAGACCCCAGAGACTCAGCCTGCTTTCCTTTGCATTTCAGAGCAGCCACGCATCCCTTCTTGGATTTCAACTCCCTTGCCACAGGACCTCTCCCCAGCTCCCCACTTCTTTCAAGTCCCCAAATAAGTACACAGGTCCTTTTCATTGAAGGGCTTTACTGCTAATCACCTGGGGAAATAGATGCAGGTGAATGGGGGTAGTAAGTCACAAACATGGGAGTGTGAAAGTCCTGGGCCTCAGACCTCTTCTCCAAGCCAAGGGGATCCCCTCCATTGGGAAGGCTGCTCCCCTTGCCCAAAGATGTGGAAGCAAAGTTGGGCCGCAGAAGGTAGGAGCTAGCAGGCCACTGCAGTTCATATATGGTTTGGGCGCCCTTCAGACAGGGACGCCCATCTCACAGGTACTTCCTCATGTCAGGAGCCAGCTGCCTCCATGATGTGAGCATGTACTAAGCCTTTCCTTACTCTCCTTCACTCTAAGGCGATGACACCAATACCAGGTCCTCTGACTTTTCAAGGTAAGAAACTAGCCTGGGAAAAAGCAAGGATTTTTGCTGAGTCCCACCACAGGACTTCCCAGAGACCCTAGCTACTGGCAACAAGAAGCCCAACTGGGATGAAAGGCTTGAGGTGAAGGGGGCAGCAGCAGATCCTAGAGATCTTCCTATACTAGGCTGGGGTCTCTCACTGGCTCTCCCTCACTCTCTCAGTGGGTCTCTCCTTTAGCTGGGCTCCTCCCTAGCCTGGTCTCCCATGTGTGTTTTCTGGTGGCGGATAAGATTTGAGCTCCGGGAGAAGTGCTTCCCACACAGAGTGCACCGGTAGGGCTTCTCCCCTCTGTGGGTCCTCTGGTGTGCTCCAAAGTTAGAGATATCGCTGAAAGTCCGCCCACACTCGGCGCACTCATAAGGCCGCTCGCCCGTGTGGGTGCGGTGGTGCACTCCAAAGCTGGAGCTGTTGCTGAAGCTCTTCCCACACTCACAGCAGATGTAGGGCGCCGGCTCAAGGTGGGTCCGGTGGTGCACAGCCAGTGTGGCGCTCTGGCTGAAGCTCTTGCCACAGATGTCACAGCGGTACGGCCGCTTGCCCAGGTGGTCTTGCTGGTGCGTGGTGAGATCTGAGCGCCGCCGAAAGCTCTCCTGACACTTGGGGCATTTGTAATGCTTCTCTTCTAGATGGATCCGCTCATGCCGGATGCGATTAGAACTTCTGGAGAAACTTTTGCCACACTCAGAACACTTGTAAGGTTTCTCACCGGTGTGGATCCGCTGGTGTGTTCTCAGGTTGGAGGTATTATTGAAGGTTTTGCCACACTGGGCACAGATAAAGGGCTTCTCTCCGGCCTCGGGCCTTGCATGAGCCAGGGGGTCCCCTGGCTCTCCAGCTGGGGCAGTGTCTTTCTGCCATGACTTTTGGAGATGGGCCCCTTCTGGTCCCTCTGACACGCCCTCTTGCTCGTGCTCTTTCTCCCCATCTGGAATCCGAAAACCCTCCGAGTCATCCACTCTCCAAGGCTTACCCTGCTCCCCGTCCTCAGGCAGGTGCTGTTCTGGATTCTGTTCCTTCTCACTGCCCATCTCTGAACCCTGAGGATGAACACAAATGGCCAACACCTTTATTCCTTGAGCCAGGCCAGACCACAGAGAATCTCTAGTTCAGGCTGAAGGGGTGTACACCTTGCCCATGGGTCTATATCCATCAGAAATAACCTCAACGAACTGGAATATTTGGATAGAATGCCTTTACTTACTAACTTTCAAGGGACAAACTCCAACAAATATTTAAAGCTACCCCCAGAGCAAAAAGAAATGATCAACTTTGTCTACCATCAACAGATATTTGTGCAATTTGAATAGTTTCTAAAAACCACTAAGCAATGAGCCTAGACTATAAATCACCTGTAAGGAGATTATATTTGAGAATGAGCTCAATTTTTCTGCCTAACTATATGTTAACTGTTTAGTCTTTTTTGAAAAAACTTTCTTAAAATTATCCATCTATTTGCCTGCATGAATATATCACAAGCTCTAATTTTTGAAGTTTTGAATCCTCTTAAATGTTCTGTCACCTTCCCTTCCCAGACCTTGCCATACCATAGGAACTACAGGCTTAACATCCGGGACCTCAAGGCTTACTACATGGGCCATGTCTGTTCTGGTTGGTAGTACCCACTTCCACTCTCAAGCACCACACAGTCACACGGACACAAAATCTGTCTCATACACACACACACACAACTTATGCAAACATCAGTAGGCTTGTGAAATTGCACAGGCTACTTTCAGTACTCAGTCATGGACAGGGGTGAGGGGAAGAAAACACTTGTAGGTTTCTTTTGGACCTTGGAGAAGTAATAACATTTGAAAAGGCCGAGTGGGCTGGTAAAGATACTGAATGGAGTGCCATGAACAAAGAGGTGAGGGAAGGAAGCACAGACTCTGACAGGACACTGATGACAGAAAATGAAGGACTGATGATTCTTCAAGTCAACAAGAACTTTTGGAAAACAGCAACAGAGTAATGGCAAGGGCACTGACTACAGCTAGGGCGGGACCCCAGGGATGACACAGGTCATCATAACTGCAAATTATTCAATCCCTCTGAGCCTCAACTCCATCACTAGTGATGCAAGACTTGGTGTTAAAAAGGACACGGTAGCCTCACCCTGCAACGAATACAGCTGGTCCTGGAATAACCTAGTTGCAGCATAACACTGAGAAGAAAATGGCAAACTAGAACAAAAGAAGTGACTAGACGGATAACAGTAACATTCAAGAACCTGCTTTCTTCATATATTGTTAGCTTGAAGTCTGTTTCCAGAGAAGCCATGGACAACAGATTAAGTCAGGAGTTACTGTACAAGAATGAAAAGGATCCATTCTTTAGGTGATCTTGTTAGGAAAGAACAAAAAAGAAAAAGAAAAAATTGTAGAAGCCTAGATATAATTTAAAATGTAAGATATGGATATACCCTAAACTCAAAATAGAGAAGGCCGATGAACTTTCTGGAAAGGGCCGGGTAGTAAATAAATACTTAGTAAATATTTGGGGACCCAGGATCTCTATTGTAACTACTCAGCTCCTCCTCTGTGTTGTAAAAAGCAGCATATCAAAGAATAAATGTGGCTGTGTTCCAATAAAACTTTATTCAAAACAAAGGAGTCATGCTGAAGTTTACCCATCCCTGTTAGGGAGTATTTACTGAAGAACTTAGATAAGTAATATGAAAAGTAACAGTCTTGCCTGACTTTCAAATATGCAAGTAAACATCAGAAACAATTTTATTCCTCAGTGCTTTTATGGTTTCCTGACAACCTTCATTTTCACAACTTATTTTAGAAATAAAGAAACTGAGGCTCAGGGAAATTACAACTTGCTCAAGGGCACTGGACAAATGAAGAGAGAACCTATGTCCATCACTCCAAAGCCTGTGCTTTCAAACAGGGCACGCATCTCAGCAGAAGAGAAGTGGGGAGGGAAGTTTGGAAGGAAACCTGGTGCCACCAAGGCACCAGAGATGTCACAGGCATCTCTCTCTGAAGGGGTCAGGGATGGGGAGATTTGCAGAAAAGGTGGGATCTGAAGTAGGACTTACAGGATGGGTGAGCAAGACCAGGACTTGCTGAGCTGAGTAGACCCCAAGATCTACTAAGAAAATAGTGACAGGTAAAATACAGAAACATTTCCATTTCACATTTCAGAGATTTGGGGGAGAAAGGGACACACTGTTCTCAGAAGTTCAGTGGTACAAGGAGAACCTAGAACAGGAGGCACCTAGGCAGTGGCCAGGGGGGCCGGTCTACAAAGTAAGAGTCAAGAAGATGGGGTGTTGACCACAGAAGCTGAAGGCAGGCCACGAACCTGGGTTCGAGCGAAGGGCCAAGCTGGAGAGTGGACTGAAGGGCCCAGGTTCCTCATCTTTAGGGCCAAGTCAAGCTCTGGGGAGAAGAGGGAGGAGTTTGGAAAAGCTGGGACGGTGCTGAAGAGCAGGGAAGTGTACAGGGGAGCTGGACAACAGGTCTGAGATAGAAGACCACAGAAGTTAGACGGCCCAAGGAGAAGGTCAGGGGCCAGGGGGAAAGGAGTCAGGAGACGCAGGCCTAGGCGGGTGGACTGTGTGTAGGGGCTGAGTCCTGGGGAACCAACGTTCCAGAAGGCAGGACCTGGCTTCAGAGTTGTCGGGCGCGTCTGGGGCGGGAGGGGCAGCGGTCAGTGGCGGGGGCCCGGAGTCCTCACAAGCCCACACGGAAGGGCTGGGGGTAAGGGCGGAGGGTCAGCCTGGGCGCGCCGGCCAGGAGCGGGGTCCGGGGTAGCCTCGGAGACACCGCGGGGCCCTCTTTGCTACCCAATGTGTTCGGGGAGCACAATCACAATCTCCAACTCCCCGGCGAGTGGCAAGGGGCCATGCTCTGTCCACGCAAAGCGGTGTCCACCTCCCCCCAAGACCTCGGGCCCAGCCCGGACCCACCTCGCTCCCGCCGCTCGGTCAGGGACAGCGCCGCCTCGGACGCCCGGGGGAGGAGCCGGAGCCGGAACCGAGAAAGGATCCGCCCTGCCTTTCCAGGATTGGTTCTCGAGAACTGCTCTTCCTTCCCATTGGGTGAACTAGCTGCCACAACGTAAGAAACCCAAGCAAAATGGCCAATCAACTCTGGCCTCGGGCGTGGCCTGCTGGGAGTTGGAGTCCGGAGGCAAATCATAGCCGCTAAGAAGAAACTTGCGAAGTTTAGAACCAAGCGGTGCAGAGTGGCGTCTCAGGTCGATGCATTTCCTTTCGTTCTCCCCATTAAAAGCCCACCGAGCAGGACCAGCTGTCTGAAAAGCTGTCGATCAAGTAAAGCTTCATCTTCTCCGAGGGATCGTAACCCTAGTTTTTTCTTTACTCTGCGCTGGTGACTGGACTGTCGGCCTCCCGCAGCGCCTACAGCCCATAACTGCAAGGTGAGGTAACCCAGTCCGCATGTCGAAGAAAGTAAACCTTCCCTGCTCCAGGGAACACTTCAGCGCTCTCAGCGACCCTGCAGGGATTTCCCAGTCCTGACGGTTCTACATCAACCCAGAGAGAAGACCCCTGAGTTATGTCCAGGACTAGGTTTCTGTTTTGTTTGTGTTTTCAGATTTCATTTCAAAAGCAAAATCTAATGTAGTATAGCCTAACAGTTACAGGTGTCTCATATCTGCAGTGTTTCAAGGTAAAGTCATTGCCATCAGTGCTAGGCCAATCAGACGCACAACACGGGCTGTCCTACCTTGCCATTAAGGAGCACCATTTCCCCCTTCTAGGAAACTCCTGGCAGACTAGATGAAAGGATTAAGTGTATTAACATCTATAAAACTACCTTCACAAAAGTCACTTCTCTTTCCTGCTGGTAGGCCCGGTTTGCATGCAGGCAGTGTGAACAATGTCAGTCAGTTTTAAGATTGGGATATTCAGGAAAATGTGCTGGAAGCCGAAACGAAATGAAATATAAACACCCCCCACGTAATAGCAGTTTAGAAACTGTTGTAAATAAAATGCTGAGCAGGCAAGGAAAAAACTGTGGCCGTATTTTAAACTGTAGTTTAAAGGCTTCCTTGGGTAGATTCCATTTTGTTTGGAAATCAATCCCATAATGTTTTTCCCTTACCAACCCAAAGCTTTTCCTTACAACTTATCTTTCACAGTGAAAAATCACAGCATGTCAAGGAACAGATACCAAACTTTTATTTAAGAACTGTACAAAAGCAAATGAAAAATTTCACTCAGGCACCATGATGATTAATTTTATGTGTACCCAGATAGTCTATCAAACATTATTCTGGGTGTTTCTACAAGGAATTTCGGGTGCGATTAACATGTAATAGGTAGACTGATAAGGCAGATTGATCTCCTTCACGTGGGTGACTCCCTTCCAATCAACTGAAGCCTGAACAAAACCAAAAAGTTGACCCTCCTCCAAATGAGAGAACTCTTCCTGACAACTTTCAGTCTGTGGCATTGGCTTTTTCCTACCTTCAGTCTCAAACTGAAATTGCAGTGTTCCCTGGGTCTCAAGTCTGTCAGCCTTGAAGCTGGAGAACATTCTTGTAGGTGCTAACAGAGAAAGACCCCATTTCTGTTGGGTAGAACTGTGGACCCTTCTGCAACAGCTGACATCTCCACAAGGAGGTTGGTCACATATGCAGTGCAACTTGGAAGACACCAGACTTCTTTTGCAATCCACACCCCAAAAGCACCTTCATTATTTATCTTCAAAGCTGGTCTATCAGCTTCCTATTTGAAATCAATACTCTCTACCAAAGAGGCTGTTTGCTACACAAATAACCAAGTAGAGCTTTGACACAGGCAGTGAAAACTGCCGTTTTTCCTAACTGGCTCTCTCTGTATCCCAGAAGGATGTCTCTGTCTTTTCAAGGTCAGATTTAAAGTCCAAAAATTCCTAGCAGCATGATCGTGCTCTGGAATTTGGGGGGGTACTGCTACCACATTTAAAGTCCACTCATTTGATTATCATCAAAAGATAAATTAGCTTTGAAGGCAATAGAATATTAGCTCTGGATGTCACCAAACTCTACTGTATTCAGCATCAAGGAACTAGTAAGTTCCAGTCTTTGTCCCTTTTCTTCCTCCCCCATATTTCTGATAAAAGATTATGCATCCCATATGTTTACTGTTTAACAATTGGGCTGGGGGCAAAGAGGTCTGAACCAACAGAGGAAAGAGGAGAAAAGCAATTCTTGATGGGATAAGTAAGGAATCAGGCTGGGCACCATGATTTCATGTCTAAAGCCCAAGTACAGGATAAGCACAGACAAGATGTTTTTCTTCTAAATGATCCCTCAAGTAGCAAACCCCTATATCTTGGTGACCTGCATTTACAATCACCACCTAAACCTACTCTGATTGCTCATGTGTTTTTCGAGAATTCTCCATCCATGCCACTGGGAACTTCAAGTCCCCAGGAGAATGATATTATTTAGAATTGACTCTGGAAGAAATAAAAGCCACACAAGGGTATGAATATGGGGATGGAGATGATGTTCTAGAATTAGATATCGGGCTTGGAACTGAACTCCAGAGCTAGATGCACAGACAAGTAGGTAGTGAGGGTCACCCCTAGAAAGAAGGAGCCTTGAGCCCCTGGAGGGCCGGGCCTAGGTCAGAGGACCAGGGCAGGATGGTATCAGCCATCCTGGGAGGGTGTAAGGAAGGGTCCATCTTCAGGACCACATCTCCATTAGCGTGACCTTTCTCTTTTGGCTTGGGGACAACTGATTCCTCTGATTTCTGGAGTTCTGAGCAGATGATTAGAGGGGCCGTGTTTTTCCCGCCATCGTGAAGGCAAGGTTCGAAGAAAGGACGCAGAGGGCCAGAGAAACTGTGGATGAAAGTAAAGATGTGGGACTTGTCAGTCACATTGTAGAAGGAGATGACTCCTGCTTCATAGTCCAGGAAAATTCCCACACACCGTGGGGGCTCTTTCAGGCGGAAGGAGATCTGTGGGGAGGTGAGTGCTTCATACTCGATCCCCCGATTCTGTCGCACAAGCCAGTGCCCATTAGCCGGTGAAGCAGTGACCTTCCCCTTCCTGCTCACGGAATCACTACACACCCCCAGGATCCACTTGGTCTTGTCGCCCACATACACCTCCCAGTAATGACAGCCAGCCGTGAAGTGCTCGGTGCCCAGGACACTGACCACGAAATCAAATCTCTGGGGGTTGTCAGACACAGGCTGCCTTCGGTCTCCAAGCTTCACACATCTCCGGTCCTCAGACAGGATGAGTTTGGGATGTGCCGTGTCTGGGTCCAGGGTCACGGCCACTGCGGGGAGTCACAGAGAGGTGAGGTCTGGAAAGGCTAGATCTTAAGAGGTCTCTGGGAGCTTTAAGGGAAAAATAATCTCTAGGTTTGCCATCACTGTCCTTGACCTGTTTTTGTTCTCCCTCTTAAGTTCTAGAACCAAAGAGTGTCTACCAGCTTCCTAAATTTCCTGTAAAAGAGGGAAAGCTTTCCATTTGTCTGTGACCATGCTTGGCCCTTTGTCTGTGGCCCAAAGGAATCGCCTATATTATAATAGACACAGGGACTGATGTTGGACGCAGTCACCAGATAGGATATTTGAGTCCCAGCTCCGCAACATGCCAGTGACATGAACTTGGACTTGCTACTTAGCCCCAACCCTTAGTTTCTGTTTTTGTATGTGGGAATAATAACAGCATCTGTGCTGTAGATCTTTTAGCAGATTTGGTGAGCTAATGCATGAGATAGTGATTCTTCACACAGTGTGGTGCTCAATTTGTTAGTAAAAACTATAGTGATTACTTTAAAATGTTATTATCAAGAGAAGGGTTCTTCCTTAAATTATGAAGGTCCAGTAAGTCTCCCTCCTTCCCCAAGGTTGGGAACAGGGTCTTCTTGGAGAGTTAAATCTGAGAAATCCATACTTGGTCAAGGTGGTGGGAATAAACCAGAATGTGTGAGAGAGAAAGGTCTGTAAGTTCTCAGAATGCCAGGCAAGGTGATCTGATGTTGCCTCTAGGGCCAAACTTGTCAGTTGAAGGAAGACAACATGAGCAGAAGAAGAATGAACAGCCTGGAAAATCAGTAAAGACCACAAAGCCATGAAAATAATAGTTATGCAAAGAACAGCAAAAAACACAAACTCTTTAGGAGTAAGTTGAAAGAGATATGTACAAATCTTTTAGAATAAGACTACAAAAACTTCTGTTGCCTACATTGTTGGAGCGTCTCTCCAACACATTTCTTTCTTCCGTGAGACTCTCAATCACCAGCTCCCAGGAAAACATTTACAGGGAAAGTAGGTATGGCTACACGTGGAAAGAGAGACGGGAGCACTGGCTGTTTCTCACCCGTAGGATAGGAAGGATGTCCTTAACCCGAAGCCTACACAGGAAAAGATTCATAAATCTGACTATATAAAAGCAAAGCACTTATGCATTAAAAAAGCTTAAAAATACAATTAAAATGAAAAACTCAGAAATGTAATTTGTGAAAAATATAACAGAGGTATATAATTTATATAGAAAGCATCCACACAAATCAAAAAGTAACCAGAATAGGACAGGAGCAGACTAATTGCCAAGAAGAAATGCAAATAACTAGTAAACTTAAGAAAAAAAAAAAAGATAAGAAGATCAAAACATAGTTACCAGTATTCTAAAAGATGGAACATTTTCTAAATTGAAATGTGACACCCAAAAAAAATCATGAAGATTTAAAAAAATTTGATAAGCTGATAAGCAGATTTGATTGAAAAGATCTTTAAATTATAGTCCTCACGGCCCTCCCTGGTCGCGCAGCGGATTAAAGCACAGCACTGAGAAACTAAAGCCACTTCTGCATGAGTTCGATCCCCGCCTGCCCCAGAGCCTGCCCCAGAGGTGACCACATGGTGTGGCAGACCTCTCCTGACCCGCCCACTGCTCCCCTCAGCAGTGTACTTTGTAGATCTGCCTGTTCTGCTTCCCGCTCTGTCTCTGGTGAATCCTCTCACCCTCCGCATCTCTGGCCTGTACCCCAGTTCTGTATGAATAAATAAATAAATCTTTAAAAAAATATATATATATAGTCCTCACTCCAAAGGACAGAGCAGTGGGCTCTGAAATATGGGTGGATTTGACAGAGGCCACTCACCAAAGTGTAGCCGGGCCCTTCTCCAGCCTGAAAGACATAAGGACAGATTGTTACAGAGATGGAGAAGAGAATTCCGGGCCGGTGGGGGTCAAGCTCGGGCAAGAATATCTCACCTGAGTTTGCTGCAGCTCTTTTCAGCTCTGTAAAGACAGAAACAAGAGGGATGAGCTCTCGCTAGCAGTACAGAATCAACAGGAGGTAAACGGGTAATGAAGATGTAAGAATATAGGGGACTTACTCAGTTCACTCCGGAGTTTCTCTAAAGAATAAAAACAGTTAGATCAGAACAAGGATTTGTTCCACATTGCCACACACCGCAGACCCATCCCAACAGCTTCCCACAGCAGATCCTCACTAGCAGCGCCCTGAGCCTGCCTCAGCAGTGTTTGCAAAGGCAATGCCTTCCAGGCGTGCGTCAAGGGTCCCCAGAGTCACGGCAGCAAATTTCTATGAGCCAAACCTGAGCTGCAGACTGAATAAATAACTCAATTCACACAGATGGGCAATGCTGATATCAGTGGCTATCGATGTTGCAGGAGAATAAAATACAAGTTCTCGGGCCCTCCCTGGTGGTGCAGCAGGTTAATGCACTGCACTAAGAAGTAAGAAGCTTAAGCCACTTCCTCATGAGTTTGACCCCGCCTGCTCCGGAGGTGACCACATGGCACCACAGACGTCTCCTGGCCCGCCCGCTGCTCCCCTCAGCACTGTGCTTCGTAGATCTGCCTGTTCTGCTCCCCGCTCTGTCTCTGGTGAATCCTCTCACCCTCCGCATCTCTGGCCTGTACCCCAGTTCTATATGAATAAATAAATTAATTAAAAAAAATACAGCTCTCACCGAGTTCCTATGAGCTTTTCTACTGTAGAGTTTCTCAATGTCGAATAAAACATGCCCCATCTGAAGATCTTTATGTTACAAAAACCTTCAACATGACTTTACATGGGGGAGAGGCACTGCTTGGTGTATTCCTTGTAACAAGGATGCATCCACCTCAAGTCCCACCCTCAGGAATCGTGCGCCTGGGTGGTGGGTCCTCCCCATGATACCACTTACCTCTCCTTCGTAAAATGTGTCCCATTTATAGACTCTATGATGGTTGTTTGTGCAGAGAAATTTTGAAAGCCAAGGATCCCTAGCCCCCCACACCTCCATGGCTTGAAGTACCCCCATTCCCTCACTTCTGCCCCAGGGAAGGCCCCAGCCACTTCTCCAACAGCAAAGATGTCAGCAGCAGTGGGGCTGTGCCTTGGATGAGGAGAGGAACTTACTGAGGGCTTTATGGAGCCTTCCTGAAAGGGAAAAAAAAAGTAGAGAAGGAAGCATGAGTGAGCACAGAATTTAAGTTATGCCTTTGAGGTCCCTGCCGGGCCTGTGTTCAGGGCTGGGCCAGTGTTAGGCATGGGGCCCTGAGGTGATGAGGCTGAATAGGATCCAGGCCCTTCAGAGCTGACGGTTTACTTATACCATCTCCACTACTAATGGCCTCCATTTGTAATGCTCTACTATAATGAGGTAAGCACTGAACCCTTCAGTAATACCAAGTGCATATAATTATTGTTTCCACTTTACAGAAAGACTGTGGCTAAGAGGGACATGGAAACATGCCAGGTCAGCTGGAAGTGGCCTGGAAGGCAGGATTCAAACCAGCTCTCTGAATCTGTGTCAGAGGCCTTCACCGCCCCACCCCCCCACACCCTACTGTTCTTTGCTCTGGGCAGGCTGACTGGAATCCCTGAGAGTGCACCCACACTTTCACCAACATGGCCGTGTCAGGGAGGAAGAGGCATGTGAAGCCCTTCCTGAGCCAGCGACTTGTCCTCCAAAGGGACTTTCAAAGGGCAGAGGCCTTGCTGTTGGTGGAGGAGAGGCCCCGGGCCCCGAGTGCCTGAACCTTTCCTTAGGGACCCAGAGCAAATGCTGTAATAAGGAAAAGGCAGGCACTGCAGGAGGTAGGCCTTTTAAGGTGTCTCTTTTCATCCTAAAAACAGTCCAATAAGAGGATCTGTTGTCTCCATGTTACAGAGAAGAAAACCAGAGCTCAGAAAAGTAAAGGCCATTAAGTGCAGACTAATGGCCTGAGCAGGAGTTGCTGAGGCAGGCACCTGCAGCCCCCCGGCTCGGCCCCTGTTGCCTCAGTGTCTTTGTCAGTACAGAGGTTGTATGGACCCTGGAGTGCACGTATGTCCCATCTGTCCACCGTGAGATGTGTTTAAACAGTAGAGACCTTCTTTTTAGATGGCTGGTGGAAAGGAGGAGCTCATCACAATCCAGACCTTTGAGTTTTGACCATGGACATCCCTCCACTTCACCCGCTACCATCAACCACACAGCCCCTGATACTGGAAAGTAAATGCCATTAATATTAATGAAGAATGTGGGTGTGTGTGCACGCATGTGTATAACAGACTGCCAGCATTTATGTACTAAGAGAAAGAATATGGTATTTGTTACTTGTTCCTTTACTGTAAACATATAATTACCTTTTTCTTTTGCATGGTCTGAGAGAAGATTTTCTAAAGGAAGGAAAAGAGAAGAAAATGAGTTTCTGTGCCAGTCCCTTGAGTTTACCTGCCCCTGTTGCTGTCCACCTCTAACCCCACTTCCACCTTACTGATTCAGGCCATCATCTCTCATCTGGATGACAGAAATAGTGGTCCACAGGTCCCCCATGTCCTGAGTCTTGTCCCTCCAGTTTCTTTTCACCTCTACAGCTCAAAGCACAATTCTTACAGGGACATCACCTCTCACTGCTTTACCGCTATTCGGAGGAGTGGGATCCTTCACCTAGTCTATAAGGTCACTGACCTATAACGTCACTGAGCTACAAAGCCTCTCATAACTTGAACCCAACTTACATCTGCAGCCTCATCCCAAGTCACCTGTCCTCTTACTTCTGCATGTTTGTTTTTTTTTTTAAAGATTTATTTATTTGTGCATACAGAACTGGGGTATAGGCCAGAGGCTCAGGGGCAGTGAGAGGCTTCACCAGAGACAGAGTGGGGAGCAGAACAGGCAGATCTACGAAGTACACTGCTGAGGGGAGCAGCGGGCGGGTCATGAGAGGTCTGCTGCGCCATGTGGTCACCTCCGGGGCAGGCGGGAATCGAACTCATGCGGAAGTGGCTTTAGATTCTCAGTGCTGTACTTTAACCCGCTGCGCCACCAGGGAGGGCCCTCTGCATGTTTCTTTAAAAGATTTATTTATTTATGCATACAAGAATTGGGGTATAAGCCAGAGATGTGGGGGTGGGTAAATGAGAGGATTTACCAGAGACAGAACAGCAAGTAGAACAGGCAGATCTGAAATATACCACTGAGGGGAGTAGTGGGTGAGACAGGAGAGGTCTGCTGCTCTGTGTGGGTCGCCTTCCTGGCCAGGGATTGAACTTGTGCTGCAGTGACAGCCAGCAGCTTCATAGTGCTGACGCTTAACCCCTTGCACCACCAGGAGGCCACTTCTGCATGTGTTTGAGCTCTTCAAATTGCTCTACTCCTCCCTGACTGTTGCTGTGGATGGTTTTCCTCTCCCCCCACACCTGCCCACCACGAAGGTCAAGCACCACCTTCCTCTGGGTCTCTTCCCCCACCTTGACCAGGGCTGGCTCTTCCTCGTTATAGTCTTCACTGCCCTCAGAACCCCGTGTAGTGTTTGTACAGTTGTAGATTACAACTACTTTTGTAAAGACTCATTTGCACAAAACTCCCTGTCTAGAAAGCTCTAGGCAGGCAAAGGCTGTCTCTGCTTTTACTCACCATTAAATCCCCAGCACTTAGTAGGTAATTCTCAATTATTTGTGGAATAAATAATAATCCCCCTGTTATACCTGTATGACTTCCACAGGATAAAAGCAAGCTGTGCATTCTCAAACAAACAAACAAAGAAATCACCAAATATACCGAGAGCAGGTTATTACAATCAAGATTCCATAAAAACTGGAAACAATGGGTGTAGGTCCCTCTCACCACCAGCAAGGACAGCAGATGTAGGGACTTTCAGGTACAGAATTTAGGTGAGTGATGCTAAGGGGACAGGGCTGAGCAAATCAGAAACACCCCACCCAACCCCAGGCACTTACCTACCTCCATCACCTGTTCATAGAGAAGCTTCTCTAGAAGAGAGACAGAGAGAGAGAAGTCAGCTCAGAACGGGGTGTTTCTAACAGCAGAGTTGTCCAAAGATGGCCGAGCTGCCTGAGAAGGACTTTACTCCGGGTCACTGTGGTGTGACCCCTTGGGAGGATCACAGGGTCTTCAAACCTTCAGGTAGGAGGAGGGCTACTGCATTATATATCACATGACTTTCAAGGTCCTTTGCAAGCCTGAGATCTTGTGATTTCAACCACATTATGAAACTTTCATCCAATGCATAGACTTGGATATTTTAATTAGAAGGCTGACATGACCAGATCTTCTAATATCTCAAAAGATGGAACTCACAGCTTTTCCTGGAAACATCCTGAATTTCTGCAATCCCCTCTGCAGGTTGAGACCCCAGAGGACCCAGTTTCCTCCCCACCAATGTGCAGGGTCTCTAACCCACGCATGGTGGTCCTATCTACTTCCTCCCAACCGTTTCCAAGGAAAGCCACAATCTCCTCACCCTCACCAGCTCGGACTCCTGACCACTTACTTACCTTTTGATCTTCTTTGCTTCCAAATGAGGCACATGCCCGCCATGATGAGAAGTCCCAAGGCAGGCAGGATCACAGCAAGAGCCACTTCTGCGGAGGAGACCCTCCCTGCAGAGGGGGCTGAAAGAGAAGCCCCTAGTAACCAGCCGTGAGGACACCCATGCTCAGGGGCCACCTCGCGGGCCGAGAGAGCACACAGAACCCAGCTGTCTCCATAATCTCCAGGGAGGGGCCTCCAGCCAAGGTCGGTGAGGTTCTTTGCTTCTCTCAGTCACTGAAACCCTGGGTAAGCCAGGGATGACTTTAACCTGAGAGGTTCATCTCTCAGGAGTGGCTCAATGGTCCTGCCTGAGGTCAGTGGGTTAAAACACAACCCAGTTTAACCTATAATCTGATGGGAAAATTGTCCAAGGACTTTGAAAAACTGGAGGCACTTCCTCAGTAATCACCTACAGTCTTTTCATGAGCACCCATTTCCTACCCCCCCAAATTCTCACTACAGTGGTAGAGCAGTCAACCACCCCTTTTCTCTGACCCCGTCAGCAGGGGCAAAAGAATTTTTATGAGGCCATAGCAGCAGGCCTAATGTCTAAGCAGAAGAGAAAGTAGAAAAGAAAGAACTAGGAAAGGAGAAAAGAGCAGAAGAGGTGCTATGACAAGTGGTGAAAAGACTGTGCTGGGTGGGAGTCCACATTCGACCCTGTGAGACCTCGGACCAGAGACAGGGCCTCTTCAGGCCTGGTCTGCCACCTGTAAATGGGAGTGACAACAGCCCTGTCCTGTGCCATTGGGCTATTGGGAGATTTAGCCATCAGGCACAAAAGATAGGGGCAGCAGTAAGAGAAGAAAAGGGGACAGAGAGAGAAGAGAGGCAAAGTATAAGCAGAGACCCATGACCCCTCACCACTTGGGACCCCACGCCAACATCTCTGTTGGCTCTAACAACACCATTCTCTGCCACAGAGCACCATGTTTCAAGGGTCTTTAAAAGATGTGTACCCCTTTGGACACATTCTTCTTCTAGAAGTATTCTGAGAAAATAATCAGAATCACTTCTCAAAATATGTGCAAAGATGTTCAGTGCACCATTATTCATAATATGAGAAAGAACTGGAAACTTTCTAGATGTTAAGAAAATAAGGCATTGGTTAGTCTTATTATGCTAGAATCACAATGAAACACTGTGCAACTTTGAAAAATAATGCTGTACAGAATTACTTAAGGGCCATGACAATGTAAGTGGGGTGGGAGAAACGTAGGCACAAGACATAAATATATAAACATATGCAACTCTGAGTTACACACATACAAGTAATTCTGGAAAGAAATGCCCCAAAATGTTAGCAGTAGTTCTTTTCAATGTATAAGATTATAAGACATTTTCAGTTTCAAAATGTATATTTTTAAGGCTCCTACAAGTATGTATTATTCTGAGAGTTCAAAACATAAAAGTAGGTTCAGACTTTTCTCTGGAACCATCAGGTGCCTCGGCCGTGTTCTGCTCTGACTTTTACCTGCTATGACCATGGCTGTGGTCTTCTCTTGGTGCAGGGCTATGCTTCGGATAATGCAGGTGACATTCCCCAGAGTGCTGTCCCTGACTCTGCTGGACACAGCTGTTCGGAAGAGGCCCGCTTCGTCCAGGGAGTGATCCTCAGATAGGGACGGAAGCACCCTGTCTTGAGGGTCTCTCCACTCGACCCAAGGCTTCGGAAACCATCCCACCGACCTGCACACCAGCTGGATCCATCCAGCATCATAGCCCTTCACCTGGATGTAAGGGTCGGAGCCTAGAACTGGAGAGGAGAGACTTCCAGGCAGCTCTAGCAGGTCGCCCCACCTGCCCCCACCTATCTGGATGTCTCCCTCTCCCACCCCCCATGCTACTCCCAATGGGAGGAGTGTCCCTGGCTAACACCTTTATAAGGCCACGTGGGGCAGTAAGTGCCCCCCATGATTCAGATCTTGGGAGGACCTCATGACCTTTAAAAAATGACTAACCTGCAACCTGCAAGATCACGGTGCCCTCTCGACTCAGGTTTCCGACCTGAACCTGACATCGGTAAGACCCTCTATCCTCCAGCCGGACGTCGCGGATCTCCAGGGTGATGTTCCCCTCTCGCGTGTCTCTCAGCAGCGCCGTCCTCCCCTTGAATTCTGCCATCAGACCTTCGTCCCGGTCTTGCCCATCCCGGAACACGTGTACAGCCCGCGCCGAGCTCCCGGGTTGCGGGGACCGCAGCCATCGCACCTGGTTGGGCACCACCGGCCAGAGGGAGAGAGGGCAGAGCAGCTTGGCGGTGCCCCCTAGCGGGGCCAGGTGGAACTTGCTGTTCCCTGTGAGTGAAGACACAAAAGGGAGGGAAGAGAGAGCAAACGCTGTTGGTGGACAGGAGGGGGATGTCTTGGGGAAGGACGGCGCTTGAAAGGGCACGGAAGGCCTGGGCCAAGAGCAGAACCCAAAAGAAATGAGGCCTTCGTATGTCTGGGGCTCCATCATCCATGTTGCAGGCAGAGAAAGACTGGGAAGCCCTTACCGGACATGTGCGCCGGTAGCCCAAGGAAGATCAGTGTGATGAGGCAGCCGGGGAGCCAGGAGCCAGCGGAACCTGCCATCTCTATCCGAGCTGAGAAGATAGATGTGGGCGACAGCAGAGAGCGCTGGTCAGTGTGACTGCCTCAGGGTGCAAATTAGAGGCGGGTAGACACAGAGGCTGCATATCGCCTGCTCCAGAATCAGTATGGAATTCCAGTCCTGCTCTTTACCTTTGGGTAGCATGGTGATAACTTCTTCCAGACTCTGTTTCTTCATCTTTAAAACAGGTATAATGTCTATGCCTTCCCGCAAGATTATTGTGAGGATGGAAGGAGGCGAGAGCCCCACATGGAAGGCGGCGTCATGGTTGTAAATGCTATAAGGGTGATGATGGAGATGAGGTGATTGAGGATGAGAAGGTGAAGAAGGAAGAGCCTAGGGTCCCCTGGAGTTGCCCTGACCCCAATTCCTCAACTTGAAGGGGCTTTTTAAAAAAGATTTATTTATTTATGCATACAGAATTGGGATACAGGCCAGAGATGCGGAGGCGAGAAGATTCACCAGAGATGTAGAGGAGAGCAAAACAGGCAGATTTATTGAAGTACACTGCTGAGGAGAGCAGCAGGTGGGTCAGGAGAGGTCTGCTGCACCATGTGGGTCAGCTCCCTGGCTGGGGACCGAACTCTTGCTGTAGTGGCTTCGATAGCTTCACAGTGCTGAGCTTTAAACTATTGCACCACCAGGGAGGGCCCAACTTGGAGTTTTTAAAACTTCCCCTGGGTAGACATGCTTGGATAGACACAGAACTCCATGCTGAACTGAGGCCAGTAATTAAATAATAAGAGATGCCAAAGAAGAGGAGAAAGCCCAGTCTTAGACTGATAGATCATTGCATGGCTAAGAAGATGGGCCCTGGACTCAGCCAGCCATGTGGCTTTAGACAAGTTGACTCCTCCAAGATGCCTGTCATTCACTTCCAGAAATAAAGGTGTACATAAGGATCTGATGGTAAGATGTTCATCACAAAGTTATATGTGAACAGGAAAAAAATTGAAAACACCTTCAAAGCCCATTAAAGTTTTTGATGGTTTAGGGTACATTCTCGCAAAGAAATACCCTGAAGCATTTCATAATAACAGTTGCTTTGGGAAATTTTCGCTATAACTATAACCCAGATAATAGCTTTCAAAAAATTGTATCTAATAAGATATATTCTAGGGAGAAGATGCTTAGAAAGAAAGACAGGAATGGAGACATTTAACAGTGACTGTTTTCAGAGCGGGGATGGGAGATGGGCAAAGGCTAAAGGTGATCCTTATGGTTTTCCTTGTGTATTTTTCTCTATATTTTCTAAGTTTTCTACCTTCAATGTGTATAACCTTAGTGATCAGAAAGCATCTATATTAAAAGAAAGAGGAGGAGGATGGATAAGAAGGGAAGAAGAATCAGCTCGCTGCGGTGAGGGCACAGCTGGACATCCTGCACAACCTCTCCCAGGGCCCCCAAAAGAAGCTGCAGCCGCAGCAGCTCAGCAAGGTCCCTTCCTCAGCGCTGTGACCAGGAAATGAAGAAGCCTGCCAGGTCTCTTATCTCATACTTTCTACACGGAGGTAATAAGCACCCAATCACCAAACAGATCTCCAGGATTTATTCTTTTGATCTCATTGATCAGAATGGCCCCTTCTTCCCTCATAATCTCATTAACATATATGAGATACAGTGTCCTCCCTATGTACTATGAAGCTGTCCGCAGCCACTGCAGCACCAGTTCAATCCCCGGCTAGGGCGTGACCCACAGGCGCAGCAGACCTCTCCTGTCTGGCCCATTGCTCCCCTCAGCAGTGTATGTCAGTAGATCTGCCTGTTCTGCTCCCCACTCTGTCTCTGGTGAATCCTCTCACTGTCCATCCCCACCCTCCTCCCCCGCCCCATACCTCTGGCCTGTACTCTAGTTCTTATGTGCATAAAACAAATAAATCTTTAAGAATAGACATTTTATCAACATCATAACAGCCAACTTTCTATGAACCCATGATTGCATTAATGCTAAACCATAAATACATATTTGCATTGTCAGTGTCATTCTGTATTACACTAGTAAACCCCTATTTGTTGCCTCTGTAGATATTCCACATATATTGTCTTCAGTGTTGATAATAATGCTAAAAGTAGGTGTTATTGTTTTTATTTTATACGTAGAACAGCAAAGGTGATCATATACATAGCCAGATATCATGCAACCAAACTAACATCATCCTTTCTGGAAGTGGACAGAATGTAAAATATAAATGAATAGATGAATGAATGGATAAATGGATGCATAGCCCTGTATCAAAAGTTACAAAACTGGCAATGACTTCCTCACTTTCCAGAGTGATTATGGAACCCCTTTATGCAGAAAGTACCCCTCGTAAATACAAAATATGATTTCCTTTCCTAAAGATTAACATGCATGACACAAATTCAGGACCATTGACATTGTAACAGTTGTTGAGTGTTCTGGCCAATGTGGTTTACTCTCCACTAATGTAAGTATTTTTAATTTTTCTCAGCAGCATTTTACAGTTTTCAGTGTACACATCTTACATCTTTTTAAAAAAATCATTATCAATTTAATAAGCAACAAAATGGCATCTCTTTAAAAACAGTGAATGGGGTTTCATTTTAATTTGCATTTTTTGTTACTGAAAAATATTTGTTTTTTAGACTTTGTCAATTACTTTCCTATAGTCTTTGTCCATTTTCTATTTTTGTATTTGTTTCTTTAGTACTCTGCAAAATTCTTCACCTAATAACACTTTTTTCCTACTATACATGTTGAAAATATTTTCCCCAGTCATTTACATTTAAATTTAAAACAGTTTAGTTTCAAAAATTTCTAAATTGGATATAAAACACACAATGGAAGTTCCCTGAATAAATTTAAGTAGCTTAAAAAGACACTGCAAATCTTCAGAGGATTAGTTTACAAGCACACAGCACAGAGCCTGGCTAACAGCAAGGCTGATGTAGATGTTAGCTATAATAATAAATAGCAAGAACAGAATCCTTAAGTGAGAATCTTTAGAAACCCACCCAGACCCTTGTCATTTGTCCCCCGTTGTTGGGTGACAGCTAACTGGGGCTCTATTTCATCCTTTCAACTTTCTGGTCAGTAAGCACTAAGGGGCTCTCTTCTCCATTAAACCTAAGGCTTGTGAAAAAGCAAAACACTAAAAGAAATGCAGAAAGAAGAAAGGAACACTCACCACCTTCAGAATCAAGGGCCTTTGCCCCTCACGGGCAGAGCTGGGGTCTCCAAGCTGAGAAGTCTCCCTCCCCCCATCCGGGGAGCCTAGGTCTTGGGCAGGATTCTGGAGCTGGGCCTAGGAAAAGGACATATTTTATTCTAAAGCCCTCAGGGGCTCACTCTGCCCAACGACTCTCCTCCAGTCGACCCTTCCTACCAACAAGCCACGCCCTGCCTGTCTACTCCTGATAAAGGAGTGGTGCAAAGCAGAGGCTCCCCAAAAGCGAGGGAAACTCTGGGTGCCACTGGCGGTGAGGGCCTGTGGCCTCTCAGCTACCTTTCCCTCCCAAGTTATCTGCCCAGTAATTCTCCGCCATACCTTTTGATTCCATCACCTTTTCTGAAAAGCCTATTCTCTCACTTTCCAAACCCAAGTACATTTGAAGATTGATTTCCAAGACACCCACCCATCAGCCACCTCCTTTCTCTCACTACCTGTATCTCCTTCTCCGCCCCCTCTCGTGCTTTCTGACCAGTGGACTTGCTGTCTCCCCACATGTGATAAGCCTTGCCTACCCGTCTTGCTTTCAGAACATCGGTCGTTCTATATTCATAATGTCCATAATTATATATTCATAAACTCGATAATTGTACCCTTAATGATGCATTATGTTTTTATATATTTTTGAACTTTATAAAGACGGAGCATCCTGTACGTCATTCTCCATGGTTTCCTCTTCATCCGACATTTGTTTTTCAGTCTATCAGACAGCTGTGGGGGCCACATCTTGTCCTTTTAGTCTATTCGACTGCAGGGTCGCTGTGACACGCAGGCAGGTTGCCAGGAGGCCACCTTGCAGTCACAGCATCTCTCTGTCTATCTGAGTGGGCACTCTACAGTCTGGAAAGGCTGTTCAACCTGTGTGCCCAGGTCTTCAGGAAAGCTAGTGTTGGAGAATCAAGCTGCAGTGATGGGACTCTGTGGGAAATGCTCCAGCCTGGCACCTGCAGGGGTACAGTTCTGAGTCCCATGGCATCTGAGGGTTCCCAGCTGGATGGGGCTCAGTAGCCCAAGGTCATGAGTAGTTTAATAACACACATTTTATCACTTTTTTCATCCCTTTTTGCTTACTTTTTTTTTTCCTGGGGTCACCTACTAAATAAACTCTTCACTGAATGATTTATCTCGCACTCTGCTTTTAGCGGAATATATGTGAAGATGCTGAAATTCACCAGGATTGATTCACAGAATGTATCCATGCCCCACCGGATGCATTTTTTGACTACACCTTATTGATAATATTTTTTTAATAACACTAAGATGTTATTTGCCCTTTTTCAATGATGGTAGTTTCAATAATGCTGCAAGAACAATGATGGGGTACTGCTGGTATGTTAGTACATATCAAGGGGGTGCCCCCAAACAGCCTGTATTGATTTCATTATATCTCAACTACTGAATACCTATTTTTTGGATACTTGGTGTGACAACATGGAAAGCAGACAGAGCAGTCCTGGCGCATATCAAGGAATGACGGCTTTCTCATTCCTTGAAGTGCTTTAGTAGTTGAAGTGTGGGCAAAATGAGACAATTGAGAGGTGAACACAGTTCTTACCTGGAAGTACGGACATTCTATGATTCTTCAGACTGAGTACTTGGCAGACATTTTCTTCAAAACGCACCAAGTGCACACTGTCACAGCTGTCAAGGAAAACAACTGACAGTTTTTGTGGCTGAAAAGAAAATTTGCTAATTCAATATCTGAGTAAAAATTCAAATTTTGGAAAACTTTTTCTGCTACTGTATGCTTGACAGCTTCCCAATGATGAAAGACTAATAGTGACATTAAGGAAAGTGATTTTTTTTGATGTGGTGTAATGAAACATCTCATTTTTAAAAGACCTACTTAATTTCAGTGAGCCAAAATTTTCCAAATGACCAGTAAATATCCTGACAAAATCATGAATAAGTAAAAGATACATTCAAAATGCAAGGTAGCAGTATACAAAAAGTTCATTCCATATTACAATAGCCTTTTTCAATGAAGTCATAATTATACTTAAAATGTTTTAATTCTATTAATATGGCAAATTAAAAAAATATAACACATAAACAGAAGCTCTTTGGAGTCCTCATTTTTTTTTTTTTTTATCCATACAGAACTGGGGTACAGGCCAGAGGTGCAGGGGAGGTGAGAGGATTCACCAGAGACAGAGGGGAGCAGAACACGCAGACTGAGAAAGTACACTGCTGAGGGGAGCAGTGGGCGAGACAGGCGAGGTCTGCCACGCCAGGTGGGTCACCTCCCGGGTACTGAACTAGTGCCGAAGCGGCTGTGAGTAGCTTCACAGTGTTGGGATTTAACCGGTTGCGCCACCAGGGAAGGCCCTCCTCAGTCATTTTTAAGTGTGAATATGTAACTTTTGAAGTGAGAATACGTAACTAGAAATTATGCTCAACTATTTTTCAGCAATTTACTATTCAAAACAATTTACATTATAATATATTTACTGCTATCTCAGAAAGGACTTTACCAGATAATCTACTCCACATTATAAAATAGGTTTCTTCTCCGCAAGAAGTCCCGGTCTCGCCGCCCACGTGGTGGCCCCCGCTCGGCGCACGCGCACACCTGCCCGTGGGCGGGGCTCCGGAGCGCACCGCCCCCGGGCTCCGCCTCTCTCCGCGGCCCCGCCCAGTCCGCGACGCGGCGGGCTGGGGACTCGAGGCCCGGAGGCTGGGGACTCGAGGCCCGGAGGTAGGAGACCCGAGGGTCCCACGGCGGGGCCTCGTCCGCGGCGCGGCAGGGCCCAGAGTCCCGAGGCCGGGAGCGAAGGCGGTTTCCCTGGCGCCGCCCGCCGCCATTTTGCCCGGGAGAGGGCAGCCGCGCGAGGGGAGCCTC